GGAAAGGGGCGGGTCCTGTGCTTAATTAACCTCGTTAATTACATGGATTGCTTCACTGTGACCAATAGGGGAGGGGCTAAAGGGAAAGGGGCGGGTCCTGTGCTTAATTAACCTCGCTAATTACATGGACCGCTTCACCGTGGCCGGTAGGGGCGGGGCTGAGGGAAAAGGGCGGGGCTAAGGGAAAGGGGGGGGGCTAAGGAAAAGGGGCGGGACTAAAGGGAAAGGGGCGGGTCCTGTGCTTAATTAACCTCTTTAATTACATGGACCGCTTCACCATGGCTTGTAGGGGCGGGGCTAAAGGGGAAAGGGGCGGGGCTGAGGGAAAGGGGCGGAGCTAAAGCGAATGGGGTGGGTCCTGTGCTTAATTAACCTCGTTAATTACATGGACCGCTTCACCGTGGCCGGTAGGGGCGGGGCTATAGGGGAAGGGGCGGGTCCTGTGCTTAATTAACCTCGTTAATTACATGGATTGCTTCACTGTGACCAATAGGGGAGGGGCTAAAGGGAAAGGGGCGGGGCTAAAGAAAAGGGGCGGAGCTAATTAGGAAAGGGGTGGGGTTAAAGGGGAAGGGGCAGGTCCTGTGCTTAATTAACCTCGTTAATTACATGGACCGCTTCACCGTGGCCGGTAGGGGNAATTACATGGACCGCTTCACCGTGGCCGGTAGGGGCGGGGCTAGGGGAAAAGGGGCGGGTCCTGTGCTTAATTAACCTCGTTAATTACATGGACCACTTCACCGTGGCCGGTAGGGGCGGGGCTAAGGGAATGGGGCGGGGCTAAAGGGAAAGGGGCGGGGCTAAAGGGAAAGGGGCGGGTCCTGTGCTTAATTAACCTTGTTAATTACATGGATTGCTTCACTGTGACCAATAGGGGAGGGGCTATAGGGAAAGGGGCGGGGCTAAAGGGAGAGGGTTGGGCCCTGTGCTTAATTAACCTCATTAATTACAGGCGGGGCTAAGGGAAAGGGGCGGGGCTAAAGCTAAAGGGGCGGGGCTAAAGCTAAAGGGGTGGAGCTAATGAGGAAAGGGGTGGAGCTTAAAAGGGGAGGGGCTAAAGTGGGAGGGGTTTAAAGGGGCGGGGCTAAATTAGAAGGATTAAATGGAAAGGGGCGGGGCTAAAGGGAGGGGGAGGGGCTCTTGGTGGGCGTGGCCCAGCCCCGCCCCTCCCCCAGGCGTGCTGCCGGAAGTGGAGGATTATTTCGGCATCGGCGACAGCAGCTCCGGCCTCCTGCAGACAGGTGAGGCCACGCCCCCACGGCCACGCCCCCAGGCCACGCCCACCCAGGCCACGCCCACTCCCAAACCACGCCCACCCAGGCCACGCCCACCCAGGCCACGCCCACCCAGGCCACGCCCACCCGGGCCACGCCCACTCCCAAACCACGCCCACCCGGGTCACGCCCATTCACAAGCCACGCCCACCCACGGCCACGCCCACTCAAGCCACGCCCACATCCGTGTCCCACAATGCCCGGGGGCTCGCGGATATTTTGGGGGATAATTTGAGGTTTTTTCTTAAATTCTTGGGGATTTTGGGGGGATTCTTTTGGGTTTATTGGGATTTTTCGGGGCTTTTTTTAGTTTTTGGGGATTTTTTTGGGATTATTGGGATTTTTTGGGGCTTTTTTGTTTTAATTTTTGGGGATTTTTGTGGGG